TCAGCCCTTTGGTGAACAAGTCAGCTATTTGGTCATCGGTCTTGATCTGTCGCAACTTAATTTCTTCCATCAAGACTTTCTATCAAATAAAGTGATAATGCACTTCCACATGCTTTGTTCTAGCATGAAATACTGGATTTTCTGCCAGCCGAATTGCAGATTGGTTATCGCAGTGAAGTGGTACTACATAGTCAACTTTTTGATGTAAGTCCTCCATTAGGAGTACCAACCATGTACTTTCTTGAGATGCTACGGCCGTTGCTTTGTACTCCGCTTCTATGGTTGAGAACGATACGGTTGGTTGTCTTTTACTACACCATGATATTGGCCCCGACCCAAGCTTGAACACATACCTAGTGGTTGATCTTCGGGTATCATGGTCTCCTACATAGTCAACATCACAATATCCAACCAACTTGCAGTCTTCACCTCTTTTATACAAGAGACCATAGTCAATTGTACCTTTGACGTATCTCACGATCCGTCGGTCAGCATCCAAATCAGGTTTCTTCGTACTTTTCATGTATCAACTCATAACTCCAACAACATAAGCAATGTTAGGTCGAGATAAATTTAGGTAGATAAGACGACCTACTAGTTGTCGATACATCGTTCCATCATCCAACTCTTTTCCTTCATGATCACATATCTTGGCATTTTGCTCTATTGGTGTTGATACTGGCTTACACTCTAACATGCCAAACTTTTGAAGTATATCTCTTGTATACTTTTGTTGGCAGAGGAACAACCCTTCCTTTGTACGATCAACTTCTAGCCCCAAGAAGTGTTTAAGCTCCCCCAACTCTTTCATTTGGAATCGCACCGATAGATTTTCTCTTGTTTGATGGATTTCTCTTTCATCATCCTTGGTGATGATCAAGTCATCCACATAAACCAACACAATTTCCAACTTCACTTCTTTTTCTTTGATGAACAGACTTGAGTCTGCATGTGCAACTGAATTAACCACTTCGGGTAAAAATTCAACAATCTTACCATACCGGGCTCTTGGTGCCTGCTTCAATCCGTAAAGAGCTTTTCACAGCTTGCACACATGATTGGGATTAACTTCATCCTCAAATCCCTTTGGTTGGTTCATGTAGATCTCTCGGTCTAATTATCCATGCAAGAAAGCATTCTTTACATCCATCTGCCATAATTTCCAGTCTTTACTAGTTGCAAGAGCTAGCAGCACATGTACAGTAGTTATCTTCGCCATTGGACTAAATGTTTCAACATAGTCCAATCCATATTGTTGTGAGAACCCTCGAGCCACCAGATGAGCCTTGTATCTTTGAATTGATCCATCTGGGCGACGCTTTATTTTATAAACCCACTTGCAGGAAATGGGTTTTATATCTCTTGGTCTTGGTACTATTTCCCAAGTTTGATTCTGCTCTAAGGCTGTAACTTCTTCTTCCATTGCCTTCTGCCCAGCTTTATTCTTAAATGCTTCTTCATACATCTCCGGCTCTTTAACACCGCCTTCTAAAATGGCCGCATTAGCAAATTTGGGATTAGGCTTTCAGATTCTTTCCGTCCTTCAAAGTTGTGGAGGTGACATCTCCCTTTCATCATCGTTACTTGTTTGAGTTACTTCTTGCTCAATGACATCATTGTCAGTTGGATCTTTAGGTGTGTCGACACTAGACCAAATGTGTGCGGCTTGTTCCCCTATCTTTTGTTTTAAAATTTCTTCAATATTTTCCGAGTCTGGTAATACTTTCTTCTCTGAGGACCACCATCAAGATGCTTCATCAAACACTACAACTCTTAAAGTGTAGCATCTTCCACTTGTTGGATCACAACTTCTCCACCCTTTTCTTTGATTGTTGTATCCAACAAATATACACCTGACTGCTTTCTTGTCAAACTTGCTACGTAAATGACTAGGCACAAATATGTAGCAAACGCAGCCAAATACTCGGAAGTAGCTAACAGTAGGTTTCATGTTCCATAGTGTCTCAAATGGTGAGATGAAACCTAACCTTGGTTAGGGAAGTTTATTGATCACATGGGTAGCAGTTTGCATTGCTTCAGCCCAAAATCTTCCTGGGACATTCTTCGTGTGTAGTATGCTTCGACAAATTTCTGCAAGATGCTGATTCTTTCTCTCAGCTACACCATTTTTTTGAGGTGTGTTGGCACATGTAAATTGATGACATATACCACATTCTTGCAAATAATGATTGAATTCTTCCGAGGTGTATTCTCTTCCATTTTCTGAGCGTAGACACCGAATCTTCTTTCTCACTTCTCCTTCGACCATTGTTTTAAATTCTAGAAACTTAGAGTATGTTTTGGATTTTTCTTTCATGAAGAAAACCTACACATATCTCAAATAATCATCAATGAACGTCACTATGTACCGCATCCCGCTAACTGATGTCTGCTTGACTGGACCGAACACATCCGAGTGAATTAACTCTAGTGGCTTTTTTGCTCTAAAATTTGAATCCTTGTATGGTTATTGATGAGCTTTACCATACTGGCATCCAGCACAAACAATATATGTTTTGACTTCAAGTTGAGGTAAGCCTTTAAGCATGGATTTCTCCATTATCACCTTCAACTTGTGATAGCCAACATGTCCCAATCGTGTATGCCATAGATCAGATGTCTCATTCTTTCGAATCTTGTCTGCATAGGAAGACTCCACTGAGAGCACATAGACGGACTCCACTCTCCATCCTTCCATTGTTGGCTTTTATGATATTTTAAGATCTCGATAGACCTTCACACCTTGTGGGCCAAACAAGACGTAGTTGCCTGACGATGTTAGTTGCGATACCGACAACAAGTTATTCTTCATACCTAGCACGTGATAGACATTATGTAGTGACACCATGTCAGATTTATTACCACACATGATCGTTGTTTTTCTAATCTGAGCAATTGGAAGAAGTGCATTGTTGGCTGTAAGTACCATGCGACTCCCTTTGTACTACTTCACGTCTTGTAGTTTGTTCTGATCACCAGTCATGTGTTTGGAGCATCCTGAATCAATGATCCAGTCATTCTCATAGTTGATACGCTCTCCCATCATTGCCATGAGTGCCAACTCATTTTCTTCTATGGCACATAATGCCTTGGCATCCCATTCATCCTCTATTTCCTTTTTGGAAGTTACAACATTGCTTTCCACAAACTTTTTCTTTGACCAACAATCCTTGGACATATGGCCCCACTTTCCACAGTTGTTGCAGTTGCCTTTGAACCTCCTCCCCCGAGAACTCTTATTGTCTGTCTTTTGAGATCTCCATGGTTGTGAGGTTCCTTGCTGACTCTTCCCTTTGTCATCATTTTTGTATCCTTCTTTAGAAGGTGGCTTGAAATTCCTTTGACTTTTACTTGTGTAGAGTGCTTCTTCTTCACTCTTCAGCGTGATGCCTCCCATTTTCTTAGCTATAGCTTCTTGTCTGGCCAACAAATTCTCAAACTCTATAAGTGATGGTTGAATGGGCCATCCTTGTATAGCAGTAACAAAGCATCTATATTCCAGCCTCAGTCCATGGATAATGATTCTCTTCATTCGAGCTTCTGCAATGACAAATTGCGGATCTAGTTCAGTAATCTCCCGACATATCGATTTGACCTTGTGGAAATATTAAGCAATTGTCATGTCACGTTGTGAGATTGATAATAGCTCGTTCTCCAAAAGTTGTAGTCTCGTATCATTCTTCTTTGAGAAAAGCGTCACAAACGTGTCCCAAGCTTCTTTCGGGGTGTTCTCATCCCGAATATGCTCCAACATCTCTTCTTCAATTATGGTCTTCAAGGCAAACATTGCTTTTCCTGCTTTGATTTTCCATTTGCGCAAAGCACCATTAACGTCTTCTTCTGGTGGCGTAGTTTCGCTTCCACCAATGACCTCCCATAGATCTTGTCCTTGTAAGTAGGACTTCATACATGTTTCCCACATTTTGTAGTTGTTGTTGTTGAGTTTCTTGATTCCTTCGACGACTTGGAGATCACCCATCGTGTTGGCAGTACCTCGGTAATACCAAACAAGCTAGTTTCAGCACTAAACTGGCAGAGTCACAAACTACTCACGATACAAAGAGAATCACTCGTTCTCACTATCAAGAAACCTCGCTCTGATACCAGATTGTTGAACACGACTCTTTTATATGGGAAACAACAAGACTTTTATTAAGATACTTAAGAAGATTTTACACTTTGAGAGAGTACTACACTTTTCTTACTTGGAGGCTTTTCTTGGATGGTTTGGAGCAAATGAGCTCCATACCTATTTATAGGCCTCTTAGGAAGGTTTTAGATACTAGAATACACTTACTACATACTAGATAACTCTAGAACTATCTAAAATACTCTACATGCTTCCGTATGTTTCTAGAACGTTCTATCATGTTCTGGAGAGGTCTAGGTTGCTCCAGTGTCTTCTAGAATGATCCATAACCTTCTAGGGTCTTCCATGTCGTTCTAGAGTATTCTAGACTCTTCTGGTATATTCCAAAGTCTTCCATAGTCTTCTAGAATCTTCTAGAGCATTCTAGAACAAGCTAAACTCTTTTAGATAATATCTTTTCTTATTGGGCTAGGGATGATCTTTAACATGGAATAACATATCTAGTTTCAAGAACGACATTAAAGAGATGGGTTTTGCTTTGATGATATATTTTAGCACGTTGTCAAGTTAGGTGACTACATCCAATTTTGGCAAGATTTTTGGATTGGACCATGCAAATTGAAGATTGCATACCCTTCACCGTATGATCTTGAAACTCAAAAATGTTATAGGGTGAGCAATAGGATACATGCAGAAGGAAACAATTGGGATAGTAGATCTTGTCCAATAAATGCTAGGTTAACTACTGAGTTGGAAATTTTATCCAATGTATTAGCGCGCACTTATTTGCAACCTGGTCCAGACGCTATAAATTGCATGTTGAACCCGAATGAAACATACAAGGTGAACATACTCATCGACGAATTGGCCACTCCAACCCCTTAACGGATTAACAATTAAATGGAGAAAAATGGTCCCCATTAAGGTAAATTTCTTCGTGTGGAGAGCTCTACAAGGTCGTATCCCATCCGCGATTGCACTCTCCCACAAAGGTTTTAAACTTGACTCTACACTATGTGGTTCTTGCATTGGTGGGTCTGAATGTGTCAACCACATCATAGTTGGTTTCCCTTTTGATATATTGGTCCGTGAGAAGTTATTTAGATGGTGTCGGATTGATCCATTTGAAGCACATGAAGAGGTGGACATCGTAGATTTCGCAAGTAAATGGGGAAGTAGTCTGAAAAAGCGAAAGATATTAATTGCTATTTGTTACGGATTGATTTGGGTGCCCTGGAAAGTTAGAAATAAACGTTTTTTTTTTTAGGCAAGAATTAATACCCCATCCAAAGTTGTCGAGAACGTCAAATCGACGGTGTTTCTTAGGATTAAAAACAGGGGCAAGGATGAAATTTATAGTTGGGAAGATTGGCTAGCTTCACATTTCTCTTTGTTGTAATTGTACTTTGTTCTTTTCCATGTTTTTTTGATTTGGGGGCTTTATTCAGCTTCTTGCTTTGAGGTTCTCTTAATAAAATTCTTCGCCGTTTCTAAAAGAAATGTAATGGTATGTGAGCTTGTATTTATAGGTATTAAAAAAAGGAAAAACATATTTTAAAGAGATACCCCCCCCCAAAAAAAAAAAAAAAAAAAAAAATCCGCTTTATCTACTACTCGGAGCAATGTAGCCCGAGATATTGCCGATACCGCCTGCCTTCAACATTCGTCGTCTACGTCCACCCATACGTATGCTAAATCATAAATGCTAATCCGTTCTCCTTAATGGAAATAGCGGTAAGCAAATAAAAGAGGGGCCTAACATGAGCAGACAAAAATGTTCTACTTAATGCGGCTTAAATATGAAAAAAAAAAAAAAAAAAAAAAAATAAGAAGTTTAGATTGAGCGACCATAACCATAATAAATTTCAGCTTTTAAACCAGTAATACACCAATATTAATTAATACACGTGAATTGCTTGTGAACCACTTTTTTTTTTTTTTTTTTTAAACGTAAGGACCAAAATTGTAGTTTAATCTATTATTTAACAATATAATTTAAAATACCGCTATATTATTAGTCACATAATCATTAAGGTATCAAGTCAATACACAAACAAGTAAACACGTTACATCCTACTTTATTTTCCACATAAATGGACATAAATAATATTGAGCGGTCATACTTCTACAATTTCTTTTTGAGATACCTTAGGTGGAAAAAAACTCCGGTATATCCTTACTATTTAATTACATTAATTCTTAAAAGGACACAACATTTGAATTTTTTTAAAGTTGAAAATAAGGTCACATCCAAAGTAAATATAACCAGCCTATTCTTTTGGATGGGAGTATGCCACGAGTAAATATCAACATGCCTCCGGATCATATGTGCCATAGCAACAAGAGAATAAATCCTCGGATGACCCAAGGTATCCATCATTCTTGAATTCTTTGACATGACACGAATGCTTGCAAAATCACTGGATGTAGCCAAAACCACGTGGAATAAAAAAAACGTACTTTTCTAGAACATAACGTACTTTTATTGCATCGGAAATCTCAACATCTGGATCCTCGAGCTTCTTTGAGGCTTATTTATACCACTTTAATTGGTTTTGAAGGAACCATCAATTGGTATAAACTCTTTCAAGAAACTTGCCCTCATCTCTTCTTTTCATCATGGGTGTATACAAATTGCCAAAAATCATTCAAGCTAAGCCAAGACCGAGGAGCATTATCTCAACTTCAGAAATCATCGACGTACCCAAAGGCCATTTCAGTGTATATGTTGGTGAAAAAGGAAAGAAACGGTTTATAGTTCCGTTAGCTTACTTGAAACATCCTTCTTTTCAGATGTTGCTGAATCTGGCCAAGGAGGAGTTCGGTTATAATCATCCAATGGGAGGTCTCACGCTCCCATGCAGAGAAGAGACATTCATGGAACTCACACGACATATATTTCTAACTTCCTAGTCATATATTAATTGAACACGATTTGTGTACTTTTGTGAACAGTTGAGAATTTTGTCATTTGGTTTTTCCTTTATTTATTTATTATTACCTGACCATTAACAATGAATATAAATAGAGTTAAAGAAAATCTGCAACATCTTCATTTTTGTAATAATTTTTCTACTAAAAATCATCAACAGTTTAGTCACACTTAGGTTATTTTTGAGACAAGTTGAAAAGCTAGTTGGTAGCTGAAAAGCTAGTTGATATCTGAAAAATTAGTGTATAAATATAGCGTTTGATAAAACTGATTTAAAGATATAAAATGACATAAAAAACATTCAAAAAAAAATTATGTTTTCTATAACTAAACAAGGGTATATTCGGAAGATTTTAAAAAAACTACTGAAAAGCTAGTCTAGCAGCTAGCTTATCAGTTACTTTTTTGTTTTTGCTAAACATATCAATTTAAAAAAAAAAACCTCAAAAAATAAGCTAAGTTATCAGATAGCTAGACAGACCAAACACAATATTAAAGCGTTATATATATGTTCAAATGTTTTTAGCAAATATTGTGTGCCTAATAAATGCTCCAATCAGAATTTAGGAAAAAAAATCATAATTAAATAATAAATGGTAACTTAATCATTTTACTTTTATAAACCAAAAATAAATGTTGCATATTTGGAAAATCATTAAATGAGTATCATAGATCCTTTTTAAATCGTTGTTCATCTCACTAGCCCTAATCACTGTTCTTTTCTTTTTTCGATCGGCAGACACATGAGAGACCCGATTTCTTCTTCCTCCCTCTTCATCAGATCGAGAAGGCATCAGGCGATCGAGAAGGCATCGTGGCTGGTCTTAATATGTTCGTCTCTTCTTCCTTATTACATGGATACTATTGGTGTTGTTCTCATGGAGGGGGTTCCTCCTGATTTGGAACCTGATGTTATTATGAAAAAAGAAAGGGGAAAAATGCGAACCTGTTAACGCATCAGTAACTTGATGTTATCAAACATATTGTTGTGTATGATTTGATTAGTGAATGGTAATTCATATAAGTCAAAGTTAATCTGTTCCTTTTATTCTAAGAGGATAATAGCAATATCAGGGCCCCTCGATGATTTGGTTTGACTTATGTGTCGGGCCCGGTCAGGACTGAATTGATGTCTTCGATTAAGTTCTATTTCATACGAAGCTGAGATCGAGAAACAAACTACTAGACAATAAGTATGATTGTGTTCCATGTAATTGTCCGCACGATATCTAGAACAGAGGATTATACAATCCCTTATCTGAAGGATTATTGATAAGATCAAGAGTTTTGAGAACTGAGATTGCTAATCGGATCCAGAAGTTACATTTTCATTTATAGTTATTAGAGTTATCCAAGTGGGAGACTGTTGGATTAGTGTCTAAGTCCATAACTATATTTGGTACTTGACCGAGTTGTGCAAGGTCCTTTTGAGTTGCCTTCACCAAAGCAACTTGACTGGAGGAATAATATAGAAAGAGGTTATTATGTTTTATTAATATTTTATAAGATTAATATATTAAAGGAGAAATCATATTTGTTTAATTAACATTGGTTAAGAACTAATTTTTTGATCAAAAGAAATTAATTGAACTAAGGGGACTGACCTGCAATTATGTGATAGTTACAAAGTTAGGCAAGTAAACCATAGAAGATAGGGTGGATGAATTCTAGGGATAAAGCCCTAAGAATTCATTCATAGTGGGATTCCAGAATTATCTTATGGGCTGCGTGGTGGCTAAGTAACCAGATAAGGATAATGACTGAAACCCTAATTCCAACACCTATATAAAGGACCCTTAGGCATGGGAAATTCGGCCACTTGAACCCTAGAAGTCCTAGAGCCAAATTTCTCCTCTCCCCTCTCTCTCTTGTTTCCTCCAATTGCTATTGGTGTTTTTGATTCATTAGAGGCACAACACTTGAGGTGCTAAAGTTCTCAAGGCATCAAGATCTTCAATCAACAAGGTAAACATCTAGATCTGCTTTGTTATTTTAGTTTTGATTATATATACTAGATCTAGGTTTTGAAAGTCTTGGATGAATTGCATGTACAATAGAGAAGTCTATATCCATGTATTAGGGTTTGCATGAGCACATAGGATGTTATTTTGTGTAAAACCCATCACACATAACAGTCTATAGACATACAAACTGATCTAACCGATCACAACAGTGTAATAACATCCTATATACAAGGATATCGATCTAACATATCATAACAATATAACATCATCCTATATACCAGGATATTGATCTAACTGATCATACTAGCATAACATATCAGGATAACAATCTAAAAGGGTCGGCCTTGGTGCCTTCGACCCTTGAGTATAGTGAGGAAAACTCACCGCACAATTGTCGAACTGTAGTGATAAGATCAAACTCTCGAATCACAGTTGCGAAATCTACCACCTATATGTTGGATTAGTGTCTAAGTCCATAACTATTTTGGTATGTACTTGACCCGATGGTGCATGGTCCTTTTGGGTTGCCTTCACCAAAGCAACTTGATTGGAGAAATGAATAAAGAGAGAGAGGATAATATGATTTATTAATATGTTATAAGAATAACATATTAAAGGAGAAATCATATTTGTTTAATTAATATTGGTCAATAATTAATTAAGAATTAGTTTTGTGATCAAATGTAATTAATTAAACTAGAGGGGCTGAATTGTAATTATGTGATAGTTACAAAATAAGGTAAGGATTATCTTATATATATGGTGAACGAATTTGAGGTGTAAATCCCTTAGAATTCGAGTATGATAAGGATTCAAGGATTATCTTATTGGTTGCTTAATGGATAATCAACTAGATAAGGATAATGACTGAAACCCTATCTCTACACCTATATAAACACCCCTAGGGCCATGAATTCGTGTATCCCTTCCCAAGAGGTCCTAGATACGAATTCTAACCTCTCACCTCTCACTTTATACCTTCTCCACTTGCTTATGGTGTTTGTAAGCCATTAGAGGAGTGACACTTGTGACTCTATGCATTCCAAAGACAATACAAGGAGATTTGGGATTGTTATTGTTACATAACAATCAAGGTATGTTCTTAAACCTAATTACATGTTAATATGATTACTTGCATGCTAGAATTAGGGTTTATAGTCTTGGATTCAAAGCATGTACAATAGAGAAACCTAGATCCAAGCATTAGGGTTTGTATGAGCACATAGGATGTCTTATGACCAAAACCCATCAGTGGTATCAGAGCCTAGCTTGGTTTCAATTGTATTGATGCATTGTATAACTGGAAAATCGTTTTTTGGGCTTTATGGCTGAGGAACTCGGCGAGTACCACAGTGTACTCGGCGAGTAGACCTCAACTCGGCGAGTACAGTGTGGTACTCGGCGAGTTCGAGCGTCAGATAATGCTTATCTCGGGATTTCTTGCTGTTTTTGCATTGGATAGTTACCTTATCATGTTAGATCAATATAAATCCGATTTTATGATATATATGACTATATTCTTGATCTAATTAAAGATAATTATCAATTAACAAGATAATTGTTTCCTTATAAGATAATTGATTAATTATTTTGAGTAAATTGATAAATTGTTTTGCAAGAAATCATTAAATAAATCAAATATGGATAATTATGTGATTAAATGTTAATTTAAAATTATTTGTTATTTGATCCTTGTTGTTATGAAAGTTTCATATTTTCCCCTTTAGGTTTTATAGTTTAAATTTGAACCCAAAAGTTTTGAAGTTTTGAAATTTAAATAGTTAAAACCCTAATGTTTTGAAAAAGGTTTCAAAACTTGCCCTCAAGTTTTGGAATTTAAAAGTTGATTAAAAGGTTTAATTAGAAATGTTAAATTCTAAAACCCTAGTAATGTTTTGAAAAGTTCAAATCACACCCTTATGGTTTTATTAATTAATTAAGGAGTATAATTAAAAGAGGTTTAATAAATCCATAAAGTTTAGGTTAACCTTTAATTGAATTAAAAGTGTAATTGTTAAAGTTAACCATATAGTATTTTAAAAGTATAAAATACACCCTATACTATATATAACATTAAAAGTCTAACATTATATATATGTATGAGTAAAAGTCAGTCTTACCGTTAGTAGGCCTCATTCACGAAGCTGGTCTATAAGGGGTGTTTAAGGAAATTGCCTATAAAATGGCGATTGAATGGGTATCCACTCTTACCCACCGCACTCTTGACTAGTGGAGGGTCGTTAGCCGAACGGGTAGGATAGGACGAAACCTTCCATTATAAGTATAATGAAATACAAAGTAACTAAATGTTTTTCAAATTCCCAATCTTAGTTACTTAGGCAAAAGTGAATTGATGCAATTCCATGAAATTACACTTTGTGCCCTTGCGAAGACGTTAGTGGAGCGTGTGTGGTTTACCGGCACACTAAATGGTTCTAAGCAAAGGTAGCAAAGGGTGACTCAATGTTTGTCATAGTTCGGTGGAGCGTGTGTGGTTTACCGGCACATCGAATAGGTGATTGTAACATGTGAGGGCACCATGTAGTTTGCATGGTTATTCACACCCGCTTTGTGATCCTCGGCATCCCAGTCACAAACAAGAGGGGCATATCGAGATTTAAACATGCCATTGAAATGTTCAATGAATCTCAAAGGATCTAGGAGTTTTCATAGATTTAAAACTTAAATTTCTTTTTCGTTTTTCATGGTGGAAATTAGTGAATCGTCATTCACTTACCTTCAAATGTTCTGCAATTTGGGTTACGGCATCCCTCTCCCGAGTTGTAGGATATTGTGTTGGGTCCTAGCCTTGGAATTTCATTTGGGTGATTTACCAAGGACTCAATCAATCAACTAACTTGAATTCGTTTTTCTCCCGATGTCAAAGTTCGACAACTATGGTCTTCTCAAATCCCGTGGAACAAGCATTCCACATGAAGATGATATTCCACGATTCGATCGAGGAACAAGAAATCATGCTTCACTTCCTCCTCCTCCTCCAATTATTCTCCCTAACCCACAAGATTGTAAAATTGAAAGGTTCAATATCACTCAAGCCCTTTTGGCAAGTAAACATAAAGAGGGCAAGTCGGTGTGTGCACACGTCTTAGGGATGAAGTCACACATTGATAGGTTAAGAATGATGGGATCCGTTGTCGGTGAAGAGATGGCTGTTGATTGGGTTCTTCAGTCACTTCCTAACTCGTATAGTGAGTTCGTAAGAGAGTACTATATGATGAACCACGACGTGACCTTATAGATCTCACCTACATGCTTATTGCTGCTGAATCAACAATGGTTTGGCGCAATAGAAAAGCAAAGTTGATTGGTGAATCTGCCTTCAAGACCTCTATGGATATAGACAATGGCAATGAAAGACATGCAATGATCGAAAAGTTTGATCATAAGAGAAAGGCGATGTCTGAAGTAGTTCCATGTGTTGTTCCAAAGAGTCAATTTGCTTTTATTGCCAAGAGAAGGGGCATTGGAGACGAAGTTGCCCTATTTACCTAAGAGATCTAAGAGATGGGAGAGTCAAAAGTATGACTACGCTTTAGGTAAGAATCCACTATCTAACTCCATTAAGTTCCTATTCATTGATTCTTAATACATGATGTGATAAGATTGCATTTGAATGTTTTGAAGGATCGGTGAAAAGAAAGGAAGCTTGATAAGAGAGCAAGATGAATCTAATCACAAGAGATGGATCTCGATCTCATGGACTTGAAGATTGGATTTTGAGCTTAGATAGTTATGATAGAGTTGTTAGAAATTTTCTTTTACATAGTTTTCAATAGATTTTGCATTGTAAGGACAAATGTTTTTCCGCTGCTTTTATAAATAAAATAAATTTTGTTTGACTTATTTATTTGTTTACTTCCTTGCAATGAAATCGTTATGAAAATTGATGTTTGCATATTTCTACAACGAATGG